AGATAGATAGATAGATAGATAGATAGATAGATAGATAGATAGATAGAATCTCAGCAAACACTGTCCTAGGCAAAGACCTGTGTTTCTCCATTCTATCTTTTCTTTTCAGAAAAAGCATTGTGCGATTATGGAAGTTGTCCTGGGGCTAAAATGAAATGAACTGTTAAAGACATGGTGGGAAGGAAATAAAGGAAAGATAGGGGGCCACGGAGAGGTTGATGAAGGTCAATACAAGATGATGGCTCATGCACGGTTGCCACAAACTAAAATGAAAGTTTTTCATTATTGTCAAAAATAACTCGATCAAAAACATTCCCTTCACATCAAATTCAGCAACAAAACATCATTTTAAGATCAAGTATTAGTCGTCTTATTTAGTTTCACTGGCCTCACCACCTTGACTCACAGATTAATGTCATTCCCTTTGGATTTGTTGGAATCTCACCATCATTGCGCTTCTTGTTAACAAGCTAAATGATAGTTGTGTCATTGCAAGGCTGTGGGCAAATCTACGAACTAACAAGAATCAGGTTTGGGGTGGATCAAACCCGTTTTAAAACATGCCGCAAAGCATATTTCCAAATACTGCAGAGATGATATACTGAGACCATAAAATGATGTACAAACTGGAACAAATTAAGTAAGATGGATGACATTATTTTGCAATGTGGTAAAGCTATTCCATTTGCCATCACTTTTAAAATATTTCCACACTCCTCTAATTAGTGAATTTATGTGTCTTGTTCCGATTCAGTTTTGCAAAGGATTTCGGCATCACTGCAGCTGAATATGAACTAAACTAACTTCCTGTTGAAGTCTGTTCTTTAAAGCATGCAATGCAGTGCAAGATGTAATGAAAGTCATTCTGCTGATGGTTATTAAAGGAGGAAGCTTCCTTTCAACTAACATTTCATTTTATAAAGGCTATGCAAGCGTCTTCAAAGTCAGAGAAAGGGAAACTCAAGAGTTTTAAATGTGAATATGTTATACATGTGTTACACAGTTTAAAATGAGTTATATATATGGTAAAAAAATAAATAAAAAAAAAGGGTTTAATTGAACTGCTGGGCTGAAAATTACTATTCTAGACCATCAACAACACATTAATCTTGCAATAGCTAGCTAAACTGTTTTGCCTTCATAAAGGAAAAGAATCTTCTATGGATGTCAGCAATGGCAAAAAAAAGACTTTAAATTTGCAATGCAGATGAGCAACCAGAGCCATAAAAACAGGATTAATTTCAGAGGAATAAAAGCTGAAATGTGGCACAGCCAAAGGTGTGCCGCCAGTACCTGAAAGGAGAGCACTGTTCTTTTTCCTGACATTTCAAGACCTCGCTTGATGTCATTTTTGGCTGGGTAATCAACAAATTTGTCCGTTTAATGCTGCCTTACTCTGAAATTCAATTCTTGTTTCGAGCACATTTCCAACTCCTCCTCCAAAAAGAAGTTATTGGATTCAGAGTTTGCTTTAGCTTAGGAAAAATTGGCATGAACAGCCAAACCTTTTCCCCTCTTGCATTACATCAACCTCTGTTACCTTTTTGTAGATGCCATTCTCTTTTCATCTTCAGTCTTTACAGTCTTTTTTTTTTTTAATTTCCTGTCTATGACTTTTGTCTGCATCGTAATGGTTTGTGATGACTTTACCATAAAGCTCATTTGTGTTCTCGTTATGCAGCATAGTAATATTATGCAACATTCCAATGCTACACCAGGGTTTGCCCAATCTACTTCATGCCTCTAGCTGACAAATACTTTGTTTCCCTTTCTAGAAAATCCCAAAGGAATTTCCCTGCAAAAGCTTTAGTTATTACATTTTACATACAGACATCTTATCAGCTTTGAGAAGCCAATGACTGCCGATCAATGAGAGTTTGAGGAGTAGGTTTTCATGACGATTTGAGTTTTGTGAAAGTGAATTAAGATTAACCAAAATCTTCTCCTGTTAGTGACGAGTTATAACATAACTATTTTACGTAATGAAAATATTGTAAGGGGCTTTTTAAACTAAGCAACTCTCAGAATTAAGGAGTTTGGAACTTTTTTTCTGGTTATCTAAAGCCATTTGTTTGTATGAAACAAGCATGTAATGAACTAATTGGACAAACAGGCTTCTGTGCCACCACTGACACACATCTCAGTGGTGATGCTGAGAGACTTACAGCAAAAAACGCCATTCTCTCTCTGCACATTTGGTGAAAAAAAGCATCATTTACAAATCCTCCTTTTTTTTCCTCACAGTGCAAGCAGAAACAGTGGATACTTTGTTGTCCGAATGGATCTCCATGCCCCGAACAACACAGCACTTTTAGCATTTTAGAAATTTACGGATTCAGTCCAGAATCTGGAGGGAGAAACCAACAGTTTGATACTATTGTAGATGCTCAGAACAAATCGATGTAAACACATCAGAATCTATTGGACCTTTTTAAAAACAAATAAACAAGTGCCACTTTGCCTTTTCATTGGTTCATTATTTTAAAATGTTAAGTCAAATGTTAACGCATTACAAACCTTATGTTTCATTGGAAGAAGTGTATTATACTTCCAGGTTTCCATATTGCTGTTAAAATTGTGAAACAAATTATACATAAAGTTTAACCATGCTGTAAAGTTCCTCTTAAATGAAAGTGAATGTACAACATACTTGACTTATTGCAAGAATCCGAAGAACAAAGACAGAAACAAATCATTGGATAGTTTGCATGGTTTACTAAAAGGCCCTTTGTGCTTGAAAATAGTGTTTTCAAAAGATTGTTGGCAAAGATCTCAATGTCGTGAGCACATCTCCCCCTCCCAAAGAGACCACAGGCAATCTGCTCCAGACCACTAGTGACGCAATAAACTTTACTACCAATAGTTTCACAAAATGCAGGTTGAGGTAATACGCTATAAAACACAGCCATGCAGCAGTAAAAGGACGGAGCACGGCTGGAAACAATTCAGCTCTCAGTTCAATGGATTGGCAAATATTGAATGATAAATATTTAAATTGACGAGCAGCATGAAATGTTAACAAGGCACTTCCAAATCGAACATTCATGCAGATGATACTTTTCCTCCATATTGCCTGGATCGAGCTTTGTTTGACATGTACTTTATAGCGGCACATCCATTATGGACCTGAGGGGGTACTGTGACAAAATAACGAGCGCCATCCTGAGTTGTGAGCGAAACCCATTTGAAGGTGTAACAGGACATGTCAGTAATTATTTGCTTCTACTTCCAGAATTCAATAACTGGTAGAACTAGTTTGGCTCTCTGAGGTAGGCATCTACCATTCACCTGAGCACGAGGTGCTTCCTATTGGTGCATGACAATGTACATTCAGCAGCCACAACTTTTTTTCACGCAATATTTTACAACTGTGGTCCAACTGTTGAACTCTAATAATCTTACACTCAGTAAATATGACACACACACACGCCAGGTTGGCATGACAACACAACTATCCCTTCTCAAAACACCACGAAAAGGTTGCCTGTAACCAAATTTGATGTGGGCCTTACTGCTTGTGGCCGTTTCATTTAGATAGCAGAAATCCAAGAGTATATGTGTAACCCATTTTAAACATTCACAACCAACTGGAGTCAACATTAAAATCATCAAAGCAAAAGGGATCCCCGCATGAGCAGCGGTTTGACAGCACGAAGGCTGTAGCTTCCAATTAAGCCACGACAGCAGATGTTCTTACAGACCGGCAGGGTATCAATGAACGAAAACAAACATCACAGTCAAACAGCATTAAAAAGGTATCTATAGAGATAAAGGCAGCAAAATGGGAGCTTTATCTTAATAGTGTGACAGAGGCTCAGAGCTTTGGGAAATGCACAGGAGCAGATGAAACCCAAACAATCGCCTTACAAAAGTAAAATCGGAGCTGCTTTGAAAAAGTATCTGGGTTGGGGTAAAATTGAGGATAGTGGAAAGGAGGGGGGACCGAAGTGAGAAGCTACGGATGATTGAACATCTGAATTCCCACCAAATCTCATTTAGGCCACAACAACCAGGCCAGTGGAATCATAAAGATCTCTCTTAAACGCAGAGGAGCACACTGCATCACCAGGGACACAGTCATCAGCTTTCACCTGCAGGCCTGTTTTTACGATATTACGATTTTAACACTTCAAACTCTCGGTAGAGGCTTCAACACTGGAAAACGATAGTGACATAATTAAAAATGGGGTTAGAGTGTAACAATGCACATTTTCTGCAGAGTAATTCTGCTCTGTGAAGTTGATGCACTGTACTATCCCTAAAGGAGCCCTTTATCAGAGGAATTGAGATTTTCCAAGTGCATTGTTTAATACAGATTTAATCCAGATGAAAAAGGGTAAGTCTTTCAAATTAGAACATTCTGCTTTTACTTAAGAAAAAACTACAAAATGTCACACTTCATGTCATGTCAACTATCTAACTGGCTTATTTAGTTTAAAAGAGGTTTTTAACATAATTGTAAATTCTCTCAAGCTTTATTGTACAAATCCATATAAATTGAGTCCTGTACTTCATGT